AAGCCCGACTATCGCAACCTTTTTGCCTGGACCCGTGCCTGCTCGCACTAGGGGAGACCATACAGTTAACCCGGCGCAAAGCATTGGCGCGGCGAAGTGTGACGGAATGGCGTCGGGGATCGGGAAGACGAAATACTCGTGCGCGCGGATATGCGACGAATAGCCTCCTTGGGTAATCGTCTCGTTCGGATCAGCTTCTTTCGGGTAAGGAGCGCCATATGTATCTATCTTCATGTAAATATTATGTTTGCTTCTCTTACGTAGTCCGCGTTTTACTCACCAACTTGACTCGGGCAGTAGTTCTCGTTGTCGTTCTTACACTGCACGCACTTCAAGCACGACCAGATCTGAGCGCCAACACCGACACGATCGCCAACCTTAACGTCTTTGACCTTAGACCCGACTTTAACCGCCTTGCCTACGACCTCATGGCCGACACATAGCGGAGTTGGAGCGTCTCCCCATCCGCCGGTGACTGTGTGCACATCTGAGCCGCATACACCGCAGCACTCAATCTTGATATCAATATCATTGTCGCCGAAGACCTTGGGTTTAAACTAAGGGATCAAGTTAGAGTCGCAGTTTGAGAAATTGCTCATATGAGTCCATGAGATGACTTACAGATTGTCTTTTAAAGTCTTTATATTTACCTAGCTCGGTAATCATGAAACCTTCAAACTCGTCGGGATAAGGCATATTGGCAGCTTTTTCTTGGATTAAAATAAATTCTTCTCAGCTATACCGTATTCCAGAGTAACTGGAAAATAGCTGCTGAGAAAGAGATGCATTGTCCAATACTTATACTGAATAAAATAAAGAATGCCAACATGTGAGACAGGCTCAAGAACGCTAAAGCCCGGTCTTAACAATATGACGAAATAGACAAGTAACTACGGGACTATAACTAATAATGTTCGTGGAACGGAATACATCAGATAGTGACGTATAAGACGAATTAGCCTCGGTATTTTCGTTTGCTATTTCACCGCTATTTTTTACTGCCAGGTATCTATGACGACGAGAATACGAAACCAGTATTTTTGCACAGTTTAAGCAACTCGCGACAACGGTAAGACTTAGGGAAGATCTGATTGGAAATGAAGATATTCGCAAGTGCTAGAGATTATAAAATGTTTAATAAAATTGAGCTCGCCTAAGATTCTGATTGGCTCATTAACGGCCGTTCCATGCTAATCGTATCTATGGTTCTGCACGTCCCATGAGGTGACGATGATATCAGCAATACGTGCATTTCAAAGTACCGCAGAGGAGAATACGATTCCAACAGATGAGTTTGACTTCCTTCATTGGCCTGTAAATCATTACGGTATACTGCTAAGCAATCATTCCTTAGTAACGAGCTTAGCCGATATTAATAGTTATATACGCGGCCGTCTGAGAGAAAAAACTCAAGCGAGTCACGGTAGAGTAACACATCCACGCACTAGTAATCGTCTCCAAGGAATCCACCACTCGACATGAATCGATGTTGATATTCCTTCAGACTAGACCAGTTCCGCAATTCCTCTTCCTCATCCTGAGCTGTCATTGTCTCGGCACGAGGGGAAGCTCCCATCTTCTCTAACTTCATAAGTATATCTAAGAAGCCGTTGAGGTATTCCTGTGCCTTAGCCACAGCGAGCTCCTTGCCTTCCGCGTTGATATCTAGTAGTGTGCTGGCAACCTGTCGAATCTTGTTGATAAGCGAGCATCCATTCGGCTCCATGTTACGTTGGCTGATCGACGTTAGCACAGTGACGAGATTCTGAACGATAAGTTCTCGCTCGTTCTCCATCATGTCGTCTCGGTCGTCTTTATCCTCCGTTTTTGTCTTTTCCGCAAAATTGGGATCTGCCCGGCGCGCATTTCGGAGGTTAAGATATCGTTCTACGAAGTACGAGCGAGTGGCAAGCTGTGACATCTGTATATTTGCCTTCTGAATTTCGAACTGAAGGTGACGCCGGCGTATGGGTTGCTCTGCAAGCACGCGTCGCAAGTCATTTGCCGGCTGTGTAGTGGGAATAGCAGGTGGATAATACTCCAAGTCCCAGTCGTCAAACCCCAAAGTGTGATTTTGAAGATGCTGAAGGTTATCTGCTTTCACCTGGAGCTCAGGCGGAAGGTCCTCGGCAGACTGCTTCGCGCTGGCAAGCCCATTGCTAAGGATATTCTTCTGCGCAGTCCAATCGAAGAAGTTAATTCCATAGCACATATCGACTCCGACAAGTTCATTCATGGTCATGTACACACGGATGTTACGATTAAATCCTGTGATTAGGGAGATAGTGTCCTCTGGCTGGGGTAGTATCTGTTCCGAGAATATATATTCATCGTCGACTTCTACCGGCTGCTCAGGATAAGGCTCTTGAGAAGTGGGTGGAGGCAATGGTATTTCATTAATTGATACTCCTAATTGGGTCATCGATCTGCATTGTAATTAGCTAGGCCAATGATATAGCACTGTGATAGAAAGATATCCTACCTGACGCCAGCGACCATAACCCAGAAGATGCGCTTGCTAATTTGATCCTTGATGTGGTCGATGGGTTTATTAGGCGAAGCGTTAAGCGTTGTGGTAAGACTGGGCGTGAATGCTTCAAAAGCGGATATAGCTCTTTGCCGACGGGCAGCAAGCTCTCTGCAGAATGTCATGGTCTCGGTTAGGAAGCGCTTGCACATTCTCCATTGGAGTGTATGCGCGCAAGCAATACCTAAGAAATAGCTAGTAGCGGCGTCGTCCGGGCTCATCTCATCTTTCATCATAAAGCGAGAACCTCGGGCTTCCAACGCGATGGTTCGGCAGTGGTCAATCATGGCAATGGCCGAGGGGAAGAGCCCAGTACTGTGTTGGGCCTTGAGGTGCGATCTTGCACTTCGAGGAAAAGATGCCACCAACACACCTACCATGCTGGCTAGCAATGCTAAGAATTCGCCGCTAGACCTATCCATACGACTAGTAAAGGCGGCACGAAAGGATGGCTGATGTGGGAAGGGCATTAGAGGATGTATATAAGTGAAGAAGTCGTCAACGAGAAGCTCTAGGATGGGCCACGGCGCAATAATCTCGGCGTCTAGGCCAACGGGGGTATTATGAGTTGCGATAGAAACCAACGTTTCGGCGGCATGATGAGGAGCTGGTGAGATATCGTTACTCCGGGATCGTTTCGCAGCCCTCGCCGCTTCGGCATGTTTATTAGGCGGACCACGTCGCTTCATTGCTCTATTAAAGGTACACTCAACCTGAAGGTCGGAGCATGGTTTACAGGGCGGGCCACTTTCGTCGCACTAAATTCGAACGGTTGTTAGACTATTTAACGAAGTAGATACGCAGGGGAGATAGGTAAGAAAAGGAGGCGAGTTACATACTTTCACTTTCCGCTGGCTACACATATCACAAGCTCGTCGAAGTCGGGTTACCTTCTGCGTTGTAGGCGTTATAGACATAGGCGTCGCGGTCGACGTGACGAGAGGGGGTGAGTATGGTGCATCATTCATCTGCAAGGTGGCAGACTGCGCATACTGCTGAGCTAAGTCGGCGGGATCAGGGGCGGTAGAGGCTGCAGATGCAGCTTGCAAGACTTGAAGTCCATGATGGGCGACGGTGGTGGCAGATATAGGTGACTGAAGGCCATCGTAGTCTTGAAGTTGTTGGTGGTGATGCGACGGCGTGGTTGGTTGAGGAACCGTACCTGGTTCAACAGGCTCGGAAGGTTCTGGGTATGATGCCATCTAATAAGATCGTCGGGGTCCTGGCAGACCGTTGAAAAGGACTAACGGCGGCAAGTTGTCGGCGGATGTCCGGCGAATCTTCGTGAGATGCGGTGCGGTTAGTTGGTCAAATGGGTGGATGCGCGTGCGAACGCAAAGACGTAAAAAAAAAAAGAAAACATGGGGAAGGGCGGAAATTCCATGCGGATCCACTGATCGTCGATGCCTTTACCCGCTTACGGGATGGTTTGCACTTACCTAGTCCGTTTATATCAGGTATCAGGTACCTATGTACATGTACACACCCCTATGTATCTTATCGATATCCCCCCGCTTCTCAAGCTTAAACGTCATGCTCTTTGGGAATTCTAATTGAAGCTTCAATTTGATTGATAAACTAATTGGTTAACTTTGCTTGGGAGTCGGGATTAGTAATCTTATATAATGTTGCTTTCAAAGGTTTCGATACTGAGTTTTAGATTTACTTGTACTATTTAGTCCTATACTATTTACAAGGCAAATCAACTATTTAATAACAAAAGGAGGTTGTCTTTGCTCGAAAGTGTGTCATTTTATGCGGTGATAGCTAACTGGATTGGACATTGTTTAATTCGGCACTACATATTGTAGACAGCTCGATTAGAGAAATAGGGGTGGTATGGCTAGTTACTATCAGAAATGTTGCAAGTGCTCAAATCCGAAAATACAAGGATACGACTAGCAAAGTGGCAGACACGTCTCCCACCAGCCGGGACAAAATGCCATTCAAATCAAAATCTGAGTTTGAACGGATGGAAGTATTTTGGATGAGGGCACTGGAACATTTGCAATGCTCTGTTCCTCAGGACAAGGTCTATGGTTTATACTCAAACTACCAAGGTTAGGGAGTCCCCATAAACGCGCTGATAAACACGCTGGCATTCTTCAAGATGTCCGGGGTGGAAGATTTGGACTAAGAGCAGCTCGATCAGCTCGAAGCGCGGTTTCATGGCTGGGCCGACGTTTTCATATACCCGGATTGCGATGTCATCACAACCCAAGATATAGAAGCGGCTGAGCAACTAGATCCTAGCTCGGTAGATTACCCGGAGATCAAAGAAGCTGCTCTGAACATTGCTAATATTAGATCTTCGGGCGACACTGTATCCGATACCGTTAAGGATAGTTGTTAGGGCTATCAATAAATTCCAGATAGTCAATCATTACTACTATTATATCTATTGCTATAAGCACTAGATTCAACCAAGCATACATCAGGATGATATATATCAATAGAGGAAAGTGTTAAAATAGGGTACTAACATGTTTGACTAGGTACCTTAGTTAACTACCTAAGATATCAAGTAGATAGATTATCGGTTAAAATTTAAATATCAATATGTGTACTTTTTCAAGACGTCTGCTATAGTCCGCCAGCTACAATCGATCATACCATGACAGCACTATCAAGACATTTAAACTAGACCAGTAACTCCTAAATAGCCGGATTAGATATTCCTCGCCGATTATCAAAAGCCCAGAGTACTTTTTAGCAGGAAGTTTGTCCGTTGCTTGGGAATGTTCCCTCCTTGTAAGCACCGTTGGCATCGTCGAGGCATTCGGCTGGAATGATATTAGTTATTAATTATTTAAGGATTACATGAGCAATACGTACCAACTGTAACGATCTTCAGGTTATTAGTCTTGGCCCAGTCGATTAGCCAGTTCGTCAGAGTAGTGACTGTGCCCTGGTACGTCTCGTGCATGAGCGGGATATGTCCGTTACCGCCAGCCCCGGCTTGTTGGAACTGCTGCTGGCTCTGCTGCGGAGATTGGTTGTTCCAGTCACCAGCATCTACATCATCAGTAATGACAGTGTAGTTCATCTCCTTCATGACGCTCAAGAATTGTCCTCCGGTCTCGAGGTATGGAGGACGCATGTACTGGGGTTTTCTGCCGAAGATATTGACAAATGCTTGCTCAACCTTCTCCATCTCGCTCTTTATTTGGGCAGCACTCATGCTTCCCATATGGGGGTGGGTCCTTTATGAAGTCTTAGCAGATATTCCAAATATTTCATAACCTGAAAAGAAATTAGTAAGAGGTAGTCATACCACGTGTGAGATGCAACTTGGTGTCCAGAGTCATAGGCCTTCTTAACAGCGGCCTTCTGGTTGTAGATGCAACCTAGTCCGATTAGCCTGTGTACGTATATAATAGTGCACGATTTACATACCGTATAAAGTGCCAGTGTAAAAGAAGGTTCCTTTTACGCCTGCCTTGTCCAGAGTATCTACTAGTGACGAGGTGTACTGATACGGGCCATCGTCATAGGCTAATGCAAGGACACCAGGCTTTGAGCACTTGTTAATGACGACGCCGGGCGTATGCGCACGCTTGAAAACCTCGACGGGATTTGGGACAGCTCTAGCAGAAGCGCAGAGAGCTAACGCGAACGCTGTGATCATAGACTCGAACAGCATTTTGGATGGGCGACAATGGGTAACTTCTCAGTACAAAAGACAAGGTAAACGAGGTTCACAACTTCAAAATTGTTAGAAATTATATCAATATATATATATATATTTCTGGTTCAGGCGGCGACGGCTAGATCGTCCGGAACCTGGTAATATCGTACGTTGTAGCGCATATAGTAGTAGTACGACAATCCCGCCTCAATACTCACTTCCAGACCTTACTGTGGAGCATCCGCCACAATATTCCAGGAATCACCATTTAGCAGAACGTGGACATATCTGCAGGTAGTATAGACCAAGCTTCAAATACCCCGGCTCGGCGTTGAGGGGTCAAATTGTCTTTGTGGGGATAGGGGTTTTATGTTGCACCGAGCATCACGAAGGACTTTAGCCGCGAGACTATATCCTTGACTAGTTCAGGAACAACAAGCGGACTTCGGTTTTGCCGAATTGGGAACGGATAAATGGATAGCTTACGAACGAGTTAGATACAGGATTTCTTCTAATATTTTGATATCACGTTATGAGCAATGGTTTGAGGGGAGAACTTCTTTATAGCTTAGCATTTAAGAGTTATAATATGATCAACACGGCGTAGAGAGTACTAAGATTCGTGAAATGACTTGCCACTATATTTAGCGCGACCATTTAATCCATAGTCTTATGCTTTGAGAGCTGAGTCTCTATATATCCTATAAGGGCATTTCCTATAAGCGTAACGGAGACTTGTAGGCGAGGCGATATAACAAAAGACGTGGACTTATGATACGTTCATTTACCTAGACCTGCTGTCATCCCTAGCCAATATTGAAATGCGCATGTTTGGGATCTATTAGGTGCTGATGTCCGTATTGAAAAAGAAAATTGAAAAGAAATTCATACTTGGCCTCAAGGATACACGGCATTCCTAAAGTTCGATATAAAGATACTTGTCACCTGCATTTAACCACTTACCGGAATTAATAGCGACCCGAAGCTTTGATTTGATGAGATCTAACTTGGCCTACGCGTCGATGTTGCACTACATCTGCATGCGTGGCTTACGCTGCCGGGAGGCTCTAAGGCTGTATAACCTACACAAAAGGTCAATCATTCCGGAAATTGGTTAGTGTTTAGCCTGCGTATTATAGTTAGACTAATAAGAAATATTGATCTTATAAGTTCGTATGTACCTAAATATAACCTTCTTCACTTAAGATTGCTCTCGGATTTAACGATTACCTACTTTGATGATCACGACTGGCGCTTAATCCGACATTATTTACATTTTCCCCAGGATGGCGACGCAAACAGCTATCGAGCTCGAGACAGTTGCGCCTATAGCATCAAGTGCGGGCCAGGATGTTACCGCTGCACCTCGAAAGAGTCATAATCCTCAAGTAGAAGCGTTGCCTACTGAACTCGTAACGGAGGACATTATAACAACAGTCCTCTCCAAAACTCGGGCTGCCATTGTCATCACTTAGTTGATGGGCTTTGCCTCGAGACGCTCGGTCAGGATCTGAACACTCGATTTGGAAGCGCCTCGCTTCCGAGATTGATTGGGTTGGCGCAATCCTCGCGAGCACGGGTCTAGCAACATTATCATATGCTTTCGCGTAAGAGTTTTGACCCCTAAATGATGCTTCTATGTAATAATTGACCATTTTCAGAACACTATCAGCCGATATCAACAACATCCGCCAGGCCTCTAATATCGCCCTTCTGGTTATCAGCGTCGCCTCAATTCCAGCGTTTATCGGATGGATGCACTATCAAGTGAAGCATAGCTACACAGCACTTATTCCCAACTCTCTATGGCGTAGCTACGTCTTTATCAGCAGTTGTGTCATGGTACTTTTCGGTACTTCCGTCACCAACTACATAGAGCTATTCTGTAGTTTATTGTAAGTCGTCAATATATCCTAACTTCCACCGCAGAACTAATTACTGGCTTGTCTTAGCTTTCAAGATGTCCAGGGTAACTCAGCACTCGGGGCATCGCTACGAATTCTTCCCTCCCTCATCGCTGGCGCCTTGACCAACCTTTCGACCGGCATCTTCGTGAATCGTGTGCCGGTCATGTGGGCGGTGTTTATCTCCTCAGGACTAAGCACCGACAAGACTTCTCCGCAGCGCTCTCATAGTCGGGTATCGCGCCGTTTTCTGGACCATGTTTGCTTGGATATTGCTCGTGTGTCTGGTGTGCGTACCTATTTGGACTGCGCCGGATAGGTGTAATTGGTGTGAAGCGGGATTAATCTACGTACTTTAGCCTCCCCCAGCCTCTAGTTATGTATCTCGATCTGATCAGGGGTAAAAGGAAACTTTACAGGGCATGGCTACGGAGATAATGTAGCATCAAGTAATCTCTAGTATATACGTACTAAAGACTAAGTTCAGGGAAGATATCACCTGAGAGGAAGCGTAATGTTGAAGAAATACTGTAAAGGGGTGACGAGGAGGAGGAAAGCCTAAGAGTAACTCCTACGCGTTTAGAATCGGCTGGTTTTCCTGAGCCATAGCTGTACCAATCTAAAGGAAAGTTCTATCTTGATAGAAAATAGGGATATAAGAAAGGTACACTTTATGATACGTGCTTGCAGCCTCGTGGTCCTTGCAGTCTATGGTTGAGGTTGCATGACGAAGTGAAGGTGGGCTACTGGGTTTGCCAGCTGGTGCCTACACCCGGTTGCTACTTGCAGCATCTTAGCAATGACTCTATTGTAAATACAGGTGGCTAACACGGTTGCCTAGCACACCCGCGACAGGAAGGTTATAAGACCAAATTGCAAAGCATCTTTCAGCCGACCCCGCAAAAAGGAAGTAACCCTGGGTGACTGGAGGCTAGAGAAAACTGCACCGTGGTGTCATATGCTGGACCGGTATGCCCGTGACTTGACAGTACGATGCTTACAAAGTAGTTTTTCGTAGGTCCTGGATTCAATTCCAGTTCCGAGCTTTTTTTGCTAATTCTTTTTTTTTTAACATTCCCAACCCCTTTTGTATTCCCCTTTATTTACCACCCCTTATTTTCTATTACTACTTCACAATATAATTCTAAATATATGCAGTGAATCCCGCAGACCTGTACTACAGATCTATTATCGATTAGGACACGTTCGAAGAGTCTATTTCTTGGAAAACCTTTTAATTTAAATTGCACTGCTTTGCAGCCTTAATTTGAGATTTGACTCCGACCCGGAGGGTAAATGGGTTACTGAAGGGAGACGCCCGTATTTTAATACTAAGGAATATATTTTAACCTATATTAAAATCAAATCTAACTACCTACCTCGTATCTATGATATCTACTGACCTGGAATTCTACTATATGGCCTTGATACTCCAACCCATCTACCCCTATTGGAATAATTGCATAACCCGGATAGATACAAATTTTCCTATTTGCATATTCGTTTAGTGACTAATTTGGTGGTGTATCTTCCAGCTTTACCAAGATATTACAAGTATATCAGTGTCACATAACCAGATTCTTATGACTGGGTGTATTTAATAATGTTACTTCTTAATAAATACTTAAATACTGGAAATTTTAATCAAATGCTTTCAGGGACATGGCAGGTTTCCTAGGCAGAGTTTAGATCGACACCTCGGCCACTAACTGCCGAAACTCCTCAAGTTGGAGATAGCTACCTGACTATACCTATTCCCAACAGCCTCCTTTAGTATATATATGAATCATTCAAGTCCTTGTTATTCAAGATCAAGGCCTTGACCAATACTACATAGGTACCTAATAGAAAGGAATACGTGATGGCCTCATCAGATGCTAAGCCGCTCACAGCACAGTGCCAATGCGGCTACGTCTCGTTCCCAACGCCGACAGCGAAGCCGATCATAAGCGCGGACGGGACGCCTCGCTCGTCTGTTAGTATTAAGGGTGGCTGCATAGAAGGCTTGGATTGGAACGGGAAGATGCATATCTTCACGCGCTCGGCTGTTATGAAAATTCCTGTCGAATGGGAGCAGTACGATACTCTACCTCTGTGGATGAAGATGGATTAAGTGATTGGGTGTGTTGGGAAGGCGAGCTAGATGCGTTGTATACTTTCTTATAAGTGATAAGATATAAGGAGAAAGAAGAATCGAATTTAAGACTGTATTGAGATTATATTGTGGAATGACTTATACAGTTATGGTACTTCGTACATGTACGAGGTCCGGAAGTTCAAATTGAGTAATGCGATAAGTAAATTCAAATTGTGACGCCCTCCTGATGCAGGCGAGTAATTGTGGCTGTCGAGTTGTCGGGTATGAGGTCATCGATCTGCAGGAACATAATACATACAAGAATAATACAAGAAATCAAATCATCCAATGAGCGGGCTTCGATGTTCACTCCGCAACTATACCTCATAAACCATTTACTATACAGTATACTACTTTAATACACACATTCAAACATTCAAGATGGCGTCTGATAAAAACCCGCCTTGGGCTCTCCACTGGCGTTCTAATACGCTATTCATCATTGCGACTGTCGCGGTTGGGCTTTTCACTGATTTATTCTTGTACGGATTGGTGGTTCCCGTCTTACCCTTCGTGTTACGCGATAGGTTATCCATACCTGAAGATGAGATACAGTCTTACGTCTCCAACCTTTTAGCCGCCTACGCAGGCGCTTCCGTCGTCTCCTCCGTTCCGGCCGGGTGGATCGCGGACCGGACGAGTTCCCGCCAGGCCCCGTTTCTAAGTGGCCTGGCTGCTTTGTTAGCAGCCACCATTATGCTAGCGCTGGGACAGAGCATACCCGTGCTCTTCGTCGCTAGGGTTCTTCAAGGAATCAGCGCGGCAGTCGTTTGGACCATCGGCTTTGCCATGATCTTGGACACCGTCGGCCCGCAGAATTTAGGGAAAGTCGTCGGTTCCATCTTCTCCTTCATCTCCGTAGGCGAACTAATGGCGCCGGTCATCGGCGGTGTGCTGTATGAGAAGACCGGATATTCGGGTGTTTTCGGGGTGGCCGCGGGTGTTTTGGGACTTGATTTTCTCATGCGACTCTTGGTAGTGGAGAAGAAGACAGCTACCAGGTACGATGTCGACCAAGTACCACATTCTCAGAATAGACAGCAAGATTCGCATGAAGACTATGGAACAACCCGAGGTGAAGACGTTGAAGACGTTGAAGACGTTGAAGACGCTAATAATCGTGAAGATGCTACCGAGCATGATGCCTTGTTGCATAATAAGAACCTGAAAGACAACGAGATATACAAGATTCGGCACGAACCTAACCGGATCGTCCGAGAATTTCCAATACTAGTTTGCTTCCGGAGCCCCAGGCTGCTTGTAGGGATGGCCCTATCATTCGTCCAAGCTTCTCTCCTAGCCGTTTTTGATGCCACGATCCCGACAGAAGCGCAGAGTCTCTTCGAATTCACCTCGCTACAGGCAGGACTTCTGTTTATTGCTCTAGATGTTCCTTATCTCATACTAGGACCCGTAGCTGGGTGGGCGGTAGACCGATATGGCACCAAATTAGCTGCCGTTGTTGGATTCGGATACTTAGTTCCCTCCTTTATTCTGCTCCGACTCCCATCGGATAACCTATTATCTGGAACAAGTAACGTTATCCTATACTGCGCCATTCTGTCCCTGAATGGCGTGGGCCTAGCCATCATAGGTTCGCCTGGTGTGGTTGAGGCCAGCGACGTTGTTGAGAAATTCAATCTGGCCAACCCGGGCTTCTTTGGTGCTAACGGCCCATACGCTCAGCTGTATGGCTTCAATTCACTATTCTTCTCCGCAGGGCTTACTATTGGTCCTATTGTGGCAGGAGCTCTTCGTGACGGGATCGGATATGGCAATATGAATCTTGTATTTGCTGTTATATCAGCTGTTACCGCTGTTCTGTCCTTCTTTGTTATTGGCGGGAAGCCTCGCTGGAATCGTATCTGTCAACTCTCGGGATAAGACAATGAAACAATAATGTTTTTACTATTTTTGAGATTCAAAAATTAAATCCATTTAGTTTCAAATACAAGCCCCCTCAATAGCACTTTATTTCCACTACACTGAGATGCCACGGGGAGCGAAATGGATAAGATATTTTAACTGATAATATCCTTACTATAAAAATAGAGTCATGGGCAAACCAAATATCGAACGAGAGCTGTGATTATCTATCTGAGATACCAGTCCTGAACTTTAAGTAGTCGTCTTAAGTATATTTAAAATCATATACTAGAATGATAGCGAAGGAGATGATAAATCCGATAGGATCCAACAGAAATTTGGGGTATCAATCCATCAGGACGCAAGTATCCAGACTGCCCCGGCCCTTTCAAAAAAGAAAAAAGAAAAAAGTCTCTGCTCTTGTCTAATCAGCGAAGCGGCAGGCCAATAAAGCTCCAAAGAAACTTTATACTTGCAACCACGCAAAAGAGGATATGCGAAAGACTATTATTAATTCCCCCGTCTTGCGATTCCCCTCATCTTGAAATGAATGGGTATCAGGTTCGTGTCATCAATCATCAGCTAGAAAATCATCGCTGGAGCCCCTATCTTGTGTAAGTCCATGGCGGCCGACCTATCCAAGGCAAAATGAAACGAAAGGATCCTTGAAGAATCACGCATGATACGGGGGAGAGGTGTTTTTTTGCCACGCAACGAATGAACATGGCCGGCCCTCGCTATCTCTCCGTCGCAAACAAGTTCCCCCACCCGCAACGCCAGTCCGTACCGCCATAATATAACCCAGTCCAATGATAAATGCAACTGCAAGCCGTGCAGGAAGGTATATTCGTAAGTCAACTAGCGATCGTGTATCATGCAAATGCTTGATTCTAAGAAAACAGAATACCAAGAGAAATCATGAGTCTCGTTAACCTGCCGCGATCTGCAGGGGAAAGGTTCGATATGTGTGTACTGTATGTGGCGGTGGAGGGGCGTAGTTTATCTGGTATGGTTATAGCCTTAAGTTTATAGGGGTAGACAGTACATTGTCTAATATGCGGTCGTCGCATTTCCTTCGCTTGTCGCAACCGCTACTAGGGCCTGCAACCGAAGCATATTATCCCGTTCACCAGCATTTTCTTGCCTAGGTTGGGAATTTGTAGTATTTTCTCTCGCTGGAAAGCCTGCAAATTCGTTTATGTTTGGGTGAACCATCCGATCTACCCGCGCTATCTTCTCCGGGGGGGCATCGGCGTGAACTGTTACGGGTCCGTTATACCAACCACGCCGTTTGGACTCTCTTGAAGTGGCGATCGAAGGTGCTGACATAGTGTGTTGGTGATACGCCCTAGCAAGGTTCGGAGCACCTGGCGGTCTGTTTTCAACTACTACGGGTTCGTTAAACCGCACTGTCGGGGGGTGTACTCTCATTCGGTCCACTTCAGCCTCAACAGCTTGGTTCGCTTCACGGGCCCAAGTACCGGCTGCGTCCGAGGATGGCGGATTGGACGTGATATCCAAGCGAGTTAGACCTCGATGTAAACCCATATCCCAGTGGACTGTACTGCGCCTTTCTTCGGGATCTCCGGAATGGGTTAGGGGACGCATAGCTGGTGGATGAGCAACTTCGGAGTCAACAATCATAGGAGAGGGGTTCCGCCTAATAGGAGATACTGGGCGGTGAGGGAGGGGACCGAACGACTCGATCCCGGGTAGCCGAAGTGTCGTGCTCTGCTGTGGCGCGACAGGTACAGGGACAGGATTATGAAATTGTGACGGAGTTACGACGTTGCTTAAGCGGCTACTGCTGTTAACGGTGCTGAAATTAGTTGAGTCGGGATGCCATGTGCGGCGACGCCAATCCTCCGTCTGAGATGTAGATTCACGCCTCGAAGAAAATATGGAGGACGTGGGAGATCCTAGCAGGCTTCCGGTTGGAGAGAAAGCACCGGGATTTGAAGTGTTCATGGTGCCCGGGCCGAAAAGAGGGCGACCCAAGGGAGCTCCATGGGGAGATTGAAAGGGTATGCCGCCAGACGGCACACTAAGGCGACGGCCTGGTGTTCTATGGCCGGCGTACATGCTTTGGGGTCGGGGATGAGATGAATTTGGTGATGCGATGGCGGAACCCCATCGGGGACTATTCTGGCCAGTTGAAAAGGTTGCCGAGGTTGGTGTACTGAAATCGCTCGGAGATGGTGGTCGGTAGGAATATGCGCTTTCCGTATTATGGTAGGTTTCAATGGAAAGCCGAGAGCGCGGATCCGCCATCACTAAAGGAGGTGGCCGTCGGCGCACATCATCGCGACCGCTGAAATTTGAACCAACAGAACTAATACTCGACGTAGAAAGAGATTTGGCATGTCCTCGAGGCGGGGAACCCATGCTCCCTGCTGTCGAAGCCCGAGCTCTTCCAGGTTGTCGCACTCGATCGGTTCGAATTTGTCTTTGAAACCTTGTACCCGTGGCGGCAAGAGAATCTATCGGTATATCTTCGTTGACATGTACAGTCTGTGCATGCTGCCGCAGGTTATCTAGCCGTGAAAATCGTCTCGAACAATGACACTGAAATGGACGTTCTCCAGTATGTTTCCTAAAATTATTAGCCACGATCGATATTAAAGAAAGAAAGTCATAGTATCGTACCGAATATGTCTAGCCAAGTGCTCGCTCCTCGTAAAGCTCAGATTGCAAGGTGGATACTCGGTGCAGTAAAATCGTTGTGATTTCTTCTTCTTATTTGACTTTGTTCCATCCGCATTCACGCTTTCATCATCCGATCCGGCGCCGTCGTCCCCGTGGTTTTCTCCATCTATTTCATCCATATCGACATCTTCGGAGCCTCCTCGCGACTTTCTCGAATGCTGAGAGTTCTCTCGCTTGGGTGTTTGCTTCGGAGTCTGCCTTTCATCGATACTTTCTGGAATTTGGACTGCTTGCGGAAACGGCGACGTGGGTAATGGTCGCTGGCCGAAGCTAGCTTTCGTCGGGGTCGGTGTTGTAGGCGACCGCGCCGCCCCGTCATCCTTCTTCACTTCTATCGCCATGGGTGTGTTGACAGGCCGGAAAGTAGCCGCCATAGCACACTTCCCAGTATCCGCTAGAGGTAAAGTAGCTGTCGACCCTAGTAGGCAAGCCGGCAATTTTATATTGCTTCTGGAACCCTAACTCCTCCGAGTCTAGATATCCGAGGCGAGCCTTTTAAGACAGGTAGTAGAAACGACGAGGACGAATAGCGGTAGATCAAAATGACAGGGGAGTAATGCGGCGGCTAAGGTAGCAGAAGAAAGGGGAGAGGAAAAGGGAGATAATGATGAAAGTTTGATATAATTCATTCGCAATTTTTGTTCCTCGTGGACCAACAGGTATTGATATTCTGAAAATGGTCGTGTTCCCACAGTGATGTGTGCTAAGATGCCGGGAATTCTCGGTGGGGTGGGAGTTCGAGTCAGGTCGAGCGGGCAACGGCTGAAACTGAGACAGGTGGGCTTAGAACGGAACAAGCTCAAGAATGACGAATGTTTGTCCTTGGAATGTTGCGACCACGGGTAGGGGGGAATCTGAAGATTATCTTTACGTTGGATGCAATTAGAATAGCATCAACAAAGAAGATATGGTTTTCGAGTGGGTTATTATTATTTTTTTCTAACCAGTTACCATGCTTCTGTCGAGCGCGCATTCATCCCGAACGACGAGTTAGAACAAAGAGCCAGGGAATGCCTAGGCCAGGGACTAGCCAACCACCGAGGAGGCTGGGTCCAGATGTAAGAGTTGGGGTCGATCAAGCCGAATGTGGACGAAAGCCGAATAAATTCGTGCGGGTCTCCGATTTGAGAACTAACCGAAGAACTTGTTCCAATAATTTTTGGGATTAAAGACGACCGAGACCTTAACTTGTTAGATGATATTGATAGATATTGATATTGCGCAAGGGAAGTGAAGAAAAATAGGGTTGGCAAGTGGCAAGGGATGAGGCGAAGAGAGAGGGGATCCGAAGCGGAAAAAAATGTTGGAGGGGTTATGAAGCAAGATGATGAGATAGGTAGGTAGACAAGAGGAGGGAGGGTTGGGATGGTCGGCTTGTCAGTGATTTACTTGTGATGGGTTGCGGCCCAGATAGATGGGGTTCCCTAGTCAAAGTCGGGAAAGAAACATGTGTGTATAAATGTTTATTTTTTATTTTTTCTTAGCATGTATCAAGATGTAATGTAATGTATGGATGTAGGATGGATGGACATATGTGTACCCAAGTATGTAGCCATGTTGCCATGTTATAATACGGGGAGCGCTATGCGTACACTAGGATATTGTTGTAAAAGACCACCCAAGGCCTTGCTCATTTTGACAGGGACAAGTTGACACTTGAGGAGGCTTGGCAGTATGAAAATATGCACGAATGAAGAGCTATACGAAGCGTATGCGTGTGTGTGTGCCTGGTAAAGTGGATTAGAGAGGGACGAACATACAGTATAGTGGATATCTGATGTGGTTATTATCGCTATTATCGCAACGCTTTATTCGCTAGCAGCATGGGAATGGCCATCGAGTCGACAACAACGATACGCTAGTGAGGTCATCGAACGACAGAAGCCCTTCACCTAGCTAGGTTGTATAGCGGGATCGGTCTCGCGGTCATACATTTCTCTCGCAATAACACGCGAGAAACTGAAGACTGAAGATGGAAGAATGAGCTTAGTTATTGGTAAGTGAGAAGAAATAGAAGAGGAAGAGGAAGAGTAAAATGAAGAGGAAGATCTACAAAACAGTTAACTACGACAATTAGATTTGTCTTATCGGACTCAGTCGTGGAGGATTCCAGCCGCATAGATAGGTATCATATCACATCACAAAAAAAGACGGTTTTCCTTTTTGCTCTCTCCGGAGTGGGTTTTTGTTTCTGGTGGGATGGATCTGTTAAGCAGAGAGAGCTTTGGAGAGGGGCAAGCAGAAGGAGGAAGGAGGGGTTTTACCTGTGAGCCTATCCCGTTTTTATTTATTACATATATTCCACTGTTGGTGCGAGGGGCTGGGGCTGCTATGTACAGGGGCAAGCTACGATGTCTGTACGTCTCCCTGTCGCGCCTGCGTACTATGCAATGAACCCTGCGAGGTACCTATGCGGTACCCGTTCTCTAGCGCTAGGGAAGTCAGGACAGGGACAAGATAGACAAGGCACCTGCAACGATTACACTAGTGTAGGTAGTGTAGGTAGTGTACATATCATATGTATGCTACATAATGTAGGTAGCTGACAGGGGTACGTCCGTTCTATAAAAATCAACCTTTTGACTTGATTGGTCTAAACTTTAGCGTAGTCTTGTGTTCCAGGGAAACTGCCCCCGGATTCGGGTACGATGGGAGAAAGGAATCATGGGATCAAGTTTATGGATGTTCCTCACTTAAACCATCCATCTATTGTTCATCGTTCATCGTTTCATCGTTCATCGCACATCGATCCCCATTTTCCGACCCCACAAGTAGCCGCCGTCGCAGGCATCATACATCATGGATCTTTACCTGGACTGCTGAAATACTAGTTGTATTAGTTGCATTAGTATAAAACTCCTGGCTCTGGCGCTTCAGCTTTTACAAGGCACAGAAGGTGTCGAGTTCGACTATAACCACTAGGCGCATGCATCTCATCGGCGCCATCTTCATCGCAGTTGTCATTGTCACAGGAAAATAAAGAAAATATCTGCCCCTGGCTGTCCCGAATATTCGTCACCGTCGTGGCGGGCGTGGTCATCTGTTGCACAACCGGTCTGACCGCTTACTTAAAGGTTGAATCCTGTCGACCCTTTTTCCTAGACATCACCAAGCACATCCGAAGACAACCGGTTCCTGTTTGGTCCTAACTCCATAACGATTTGGCACTGGCTTAGGGCAACTTTCACATAAATCGATCAGACAAGTCCTCTTAGGCTCTTACAAGACTAGCCAAAACTTCCAAACTTGGTCCGTTTTTTCTTCTTCCTACGATATTAGCAATAAAGTAAGCTTGTTTGAAACCACGCGAGTACCGTAAGTATTCGCGCGAGTCTACGTAGGAGGAGAAAGTTCCGTTTGTCCTCGCGTCCCCCCTTTATTTCTAGATCTTTCACATCCTATGCCCCATATGTGCGCTTCTCAAAAATCTATCGGTGAGGCGGACGAGCCGTTCATAAGCTCAATCTATACAATGAAGGGAAGATGCATTTTAACAATGTGAGCTTTCTTTTAAACGATGTCTTTGTTCAACAGCCGGGTCTCTGCAACCCTGAGGAGAACGCTGCTGTGAGCTAAACCTTGTTAGGTTATGATCTGCGTTATCTCGGCTCTCTGACGCAACGCCTGCCTGTCCGGTATCTATATTCAACAGCTCTCCTCCAGTTTTTATTGCCGGGGAGTGTCCATTATGGTGGACGCAGGCGCGTTGACTCGGTCAATGTTCTCGAGCCTAGATTGCCCTGCGATGTGCTTATGTAGGCACCTAAGAAAAGATCACATCCTGCCAAGGGGTATCGTGTCATCCGGATATCGAGTAGAGATTCCCTCGGGTCCACGGAGATCTTACTGGCTTTGCCGCATTCCTACTATTTTATCGCAACCGGATTGACGGTATGGGAATTCTTGGGGGGATAAGCGTCCAGCTGACTGCTACTCCTTGCTACCGTGTAAATCTCAGTACTTTGTACAGCAAATACCTACCTGTACACCACCATCAGCCTTTCTCCACTCGCTTCTCGCTTCGCCCGGAGCCTTTTTTTCCCCTTCTTCCCTTCTTCCCTTCTTCCCTTGCCTACATAATCTCATGCACAGAGTTCCAACTTGCGCCAACCCTCAAAGCTCCGTAGCTTCTTCCGTCGCAAGATACGCGAACATGTCATCAAACCCTTTACTCCCCTGCCCTACGAAATACAAAGGACATGTAGTATGTGTACCATGTAGGTATGTTTGTGTAACATGTATACGATGTCTCCTATATCCATTATCGTGGTTCTTGTACCTGATGATCCACCACCCGGCTACCACGTATGCAGCATTATTATCTGCATTAGTCATAGCACACAAGTTCCGCCCTGCCCTACTATTGTGACATCCAAATGTAGGACTCCTAAACTACTTACGATCCAGCTCCACGGATAGCGGCTGTTCATATTCACCGAAGCTGAACTGTCGGTGCGGACGAAAACTCCATTAAGTTTGGAATCTGACTCCTACATAATAGACTCTTTCGGACGTGCGAAATAACGTTGCACCAAACCGTCCTTACAGACACTAGCAGTTTCACGTACACGATATCGCCAAACTTTCTACGGTAGATAAGTTTATTAGTGTAACTATACCACCTCTTTAACGCTTATGCAAAGTCCAGCTGTTAAACCGCGGTACAAAATACCTAACGAAAAGCAATCAATCAAGGCCCAAGAGGAGTAAAACGTCCGATGATTTTCACATAGTTAGATATCCTATCCTAAATCACTGGGTTTTTGGCTGAAAGAGGTCAAACCCCCTCGCTTTCAATATTCACCCCTCCCCCGCTATGATCTGACGCTATCAACAATCGTTTATCGATATGCCCTACAGGGAGCCGGGCTAGTCGGTGATGGATGCAGGTGGCGTCATACTGTTGATCTCGACTCACTACAATACCCAAGGTACCGTACCCAATGTACGGGCTACGGGCTACGGGCTATATTACCTGGTTTTAATTATCTCTGATGTTGCTAATTACTTTTTACTTCCCTCATTCTGCCTGGTTCGATTACCCGGTTGGGGCACTTGCAGGGGCATAATTAACTCAGAAGCAGGGCTATACATCAGATGACTATCACGTCTGTGTACATAGTAAGTCCAGGCCCGTTATCGCCGGACACCGTGTGCGTGTGCGTAAGCTGTCAGCCCACATCCCCAGGTACAATACTGTACAAACTACCTTACCTAAGTAATCCGTACCTAAGGTATACATCTATCTGTACCTGGCGAACGATGGAAAGCATCGATCCCAGGACCCTGCCAAGGTACAGGGCTGAAATGAAAACGCAGCCTACAAAGGACCTTACGCACTGGCGCACTGGCGCACTAGGCCACTAATATCTTAACGACATTAGAGGCGACGATACTAAGTACGTAACTAGCAAAGGTGCAGATAATAATATACCCGTTACCGGACGAGTTCACATCCTGATGGGATGTCCTCCTCTTTGATTGGCATGTGATTGGATTATCCTTTGGGAGGAAGACGAGCTAGGTACACCTGGATTAGTTCGTCAATCATTTAACCAACTACCTGGAATACATTTATTACATACTTCTATGTGTGTAACGCCCCAGCAGTTCGGATCACTCCTTACCTAAAGCCACAAGGGGGGCAACATACCTAAGCTACTATTGAAGGTAGCAACCATCTATTATGGTAAGGCGATGTTTAGTATTTCGTACATGTAAGTACCTCATGTAAGTCGTACCTAGGTACATGTACCTATGATTTGATGTCATAATACGGAATACATCAGACAGAGTTCGTTAGTTACATGTCTTACAGCTGTACCTTGAAGTCTACTTTTAGAGAAGAATTAGAATATGACGGTCCTGTGCGCGCTACCTCTAAAATAAAACTGTCCTGCAGGATGCAAGGCACGATACATCCGTACATGTAGGCACAGTACCTAGCCAAATTCAAAGATGGTTCCCTCGTAGGTCGTCTTTCATCCACTTTACCCGCACCGGTTACCACCGGCAACTTATCTCGTCCACGTTTAAGAATTCTCCTTATCTCCATTCAACTATCGTCCCTATCGTAGATCGACACCTTTCTATTGTGCGTAGCTACCTAATGAGTGATGTTACCTATGTAGATTTAAAATCATTCTTTGCTCCACTCCACTCCACCTCTCCCGATTCATGTCTTCTTTTAAAGACCACTAAAAAGTTAAAGTCTTACTTGGTATAACAGGTAACTAATGAAGTTGATGCAAACTAGCCATCGGAGACGAGACCATAGATAATAATATATATTTTTTACCTATCTTCTCGTTGACCGCCACTTGCGAATGACCCAAAGTACATAGCCATCATGATTGTACCTCGTCCCCCTTTTTATGCTGCACGTCCAACAAGTGCAGCATTGCCGCATTGCAGTATTGCAGTGTTGCAACCTCATCCAGAGATCCGGACGGCGCCCGACGCGTGCCTGATTCTGACGTACGTAGTAATTCTGCGCGAGTTCAAGTTTGTTCCTCGCCCAACCGCAGCCGCGTTCGACATTGCTCGCATATGACGATGTCCTACTATTGACCTTATTCATGCTACTCATACCACTCCAACGAACCATGCAGAACCCCCCGCCGCTTGCGCGACACTATCTAACTAAGCATCTACGAGTAGTATCGGTATTCAATATTGCTATCCCACCCTCAAGCCGGAGACTTGAGAGGGCTGACAACGCCTTCTTGTTTCACAGATCGCTTCTATGCGATCTAATCCAATAACATTATAAAATACTAACGTATCTATCACCCCATTTCGCGATATATGTATGTGTGGCGTGGTACACAGTAGCGTGGTCGGCATGCAAGTGCTGGGTTCCGCATCCCAAGTAATAACCAATGCGATCAACCCTATCGTAAATACTAACCATCCTCTTCTAAATACTATTTTTTCTTCTTTTTTTTTCCTTTTTCTCCTCTTTCTTTTTCTCTTCTTAACCCACCCTGCGACTGTCGGATTCGTCGGCCGAGTCCTATATCATGGAGTGCGGTTTGATTTGCTTTTTCATGTACATGTGACGGTCTAACATTACATGAACACATTCGTCGCGGCGATAGGCTACGTCGCCAATATACTGACCCATATCCTGTTTCTAAATACTACACTTGTGGTTGCGGCCGGCATCTCTGCGGGGTTTTTAGCCTCACGCCGTTGAAGTTTATTAGCCAACGAAGGGAGATGGAAAATGAGTAGAAGTCAGAGCCGAAAAATACAATTAATAACTTGTAATCTCTGTCGGGATTCTAGATGAGACATCTAGAACAAAGGACCTGTTCAATATGTATAGACGTAAGTCCATGTTGTTTCGTTCCACCTCGTGACAATCTCTAGGTTAATCTTCTATTTTTTTCTCTTCTACAATCCTCTAGTGAGTCTTATGAACTTTATCCCGACTTGACATTCCCGCTGCAGTTTGTCAAATAAGCTTAATACATTTAGCCTAGTTCCCAATATTTCAATTCGAAGCATTAAAGATATGACGTTTGTCCTTGTTTCTACGATTACGTAACCAAATTGAGAAGACACGCTTGAGAAAGTAACATAAACTACCTCTGAGAACCCTATGAGCGTAGCTATTTTAGTAAACATTAACTTTATGTGAAAGCTATGGTTTATATAGTGATAAAGGAAGAACGTAGTAAAGCTAGATAAGGCGAGTGGCATAAAATACGTAAAGTCTCTGTTAGACCGTACAAGGTTGCTTCCACGACGAAAAGGAGCGTACAATATATAAACCTATAAGTAAACAAACCGTAAAATTAAACAGTCATAGCTACGTACAGGCAACAGTAAGGAGCTCAGGCTACTTAATTATTAGTCTGTCATTAACTTTATGTCAAGGCAGAAGCTTTAACAATACGGTTGTTGCGGCCTGATTTCTTATGATGACGCTGAGACAATTCTATGGTAAGGTTAAGACGGTTTCCATAATACGATGCCCCAAATATTTATATTAATATATACGAGGGACTTGTGCATTGTTGTAACACGAGGTTGGCGCCTTAAAAGACGGTAGGAATAGCCTCACCAGAGCATTACGAGGCGGAATATAGAACCTAGAGCTTATTAATGGCTCGATTAAACCCCAAAACCTATAGTTTTACACGCTTATTTATATCAAATAATTGGGCTAGGGAAAGGTTTCCTAGCTAATGGAGTTATATAAAGTTTACCTAATATAAGGAGATTTTTGTTCCGTGTACATCTGCTTCCTGTAATGAGGCAGTTAGCTTTACGAATTCCCAAGCCTAAGCTATGATCCTTCAATCAAAAAGTTGTGCATCTGGATTTATTTCGTCCATTTTTTGTCTGTCTTCCGCGTCTTTCGACTCCTCCAATTGTAGCAATTCGCCACGACACCGATCTTTGTCAAAGTGATCAGGCCATCCGTAGCGAAGATACGTATTATACACATCCTACGAATATTAGGTTAGCATTAAACCTGAGTGCAATTAAGTTAAGCCTCTAAATAAACATACTGCTACATGCTTTCTCATACTTTTCTGCGCTTCGTACTGGGCCCTATCAAGCTCGTTCTCAAAATACGAGTGGTTGGCGTCATCTTGAAGATGCCACGGCTTCAATTGCTCTTCGAGGGTCAGTTCATCTTGCTCAGCGTTTGTATCAGCGCGGCTATAGAACCTCCCCGTGGTTGGCTGGCCAATTGGGTTTGGTATTAGCATCCATACTAGTTTCTCGTATCGTCGCGTCCAAGCGTCTAAAAAAGATTTGATAGGCGACGTGCGATGGGCTTTCCATTTATCTTCTTCAGATAGCGCTTCGTATTCTTTTTCAGGCACTGTAATGTAGGACCCGGTGTGACAGAACTCAGTTATGGTACCTTCGTTAGTGTCGAGAATCAAAGACGTGCCCTCTCGGTCGACGCTACGAGCAAGGTAAACACAGTGAGCTGGGAGAGGGTAGATTTCAGGGTAGCTTTGTTCGTCCGTATAACATATAGGAATCGTTTCCCAGTAAATAAGGAGTCGTTCGTACGGCTTCTCTGGGCGGAGATATGGGAGATTACGGAGTAGATCAAGGACAGTTTTAGTTTTTCCTTGAATATTAACAGAACGCCAACCGTTTGGAGGGGGTATAACGAGTGTGCTATCGTTTAAACATGGGTGGCGGATAACTTCCTGATAGAGCCGTAGGATGGCGTTAACAGTCTCGTCGCGAGAATACATCTTGGACTATTGCAGGTGAATAATTGTTGTTAGTGGCGTTGAATATTGAATATTGAATATTGAATAAATGGACCTTAACGCGGATTAGAGTATATTAAGAATTACCTAGCTACCTATCAACATGCCAAAGCGGGAGTTAGCGGCATTGGCCGAATTAGCGGGCGCTTAAGTCCCATAGCGAAGTGGTCATACCGTTACTTCAAGCTATGGCCTTTCTATTGATCTCGTGTTCACCAGATGGAAATAGAGAACATAGGTTGAATTTGTATTCTGTTGGTCCTTTTTCCTACGCTTTGGGTCACTAGAATGGCAACGCCCAAAGTTAATTGCTCCCATTGACGTAAGCATGTGAAGCTATGTGAAGCTAATTAATTCAATATTAACAATAGGAAATGGAAATAGAGACGGGACAATAACATCGTATCGACGAGAATGCCAATTAATGATAATTTCATTTACCTATCAAGCTCCATAACGAGGGCAAGAGAAATAAATACCCGTGATGATTAATTGATACATAACCTGGGTCCTGCGTATAAATACTATCTTACACTTGCCTACATAGCAGCATCACCTATCCGGGGAAAGTCTATAGCAACTTCCTATACGAAGATGATCCACGAATGGGAAGTGATGATCTAAAAGGTCCATGCCATAATACTAATACATAACACCGTATTTTAGATTATTGCTAGTCAATAAATAAGCCCTAGACGAGCATATTACGACGCTCTCTACAAATATCCTCTTGGACTACCCTTGCCGTTTTATTTACTTTGATACTTAACATAGCGACAGGACTGGCGGGGCCGCTTTGGGGGGCAACGTAAATAGTTACTAATATTTAACAATATACACCTGTCAGAGTTCCGCTCGGGCTTGGAGTCAAACTATTCACAATATGTGTCAACAATTTCATGTTGGTGCTTGGATCCGGGCAGCTGTAATACTAATATATAAAAGACCTATGGCCATGCTATCTCTCCTTTCTTGAAATTCCCCGTTGCAAATCATTTACATCTTCATTTTCACACACCAACACTACATATTTCTGCTATCTATACCTAACCAATACATTCATCCCTGCCGCAATGTCGTCTCAAGTGGGCCGGCACTCGCGTCGACAACAGCGACAACAGCGACAACAGCGACAACAGCGACAACGGCCACAAGTTCAAGTAGTAAGCGGGCTACACTTTCCAGTGCCTGTGAACAACATGGATATGTCGGCATCGGAGCTAAGTCAGACACTGCCTAGCACGATGTCTGACATGACGCCTCTAGGGGAAGTATCAAATGTTAATGCCATTTCTATGCCACAGGTACAGCAGCACTCCGAGGGGCTATATTCCGGACAATTCCAGAATCAACCCTCGGTACAAGGTCTCTTTGAGATACCACCTCAAGATCCATTTGATTTATTCGATTTTCAGCCCTATCCCCAATCTTCGCCCCAGAATACCCAAATGCAAGGACAACCTCAAGATCAATCTCAGGTGACTTCTTGGGAGCTAACCACAGATCCTGATTTATTCGATATTCAGCCCCATCCCCAATCTTTCCCCCAGAATACCCAAATGCAAGGACAACCTCAAGATCAATCTCAGGTGAATTCTTGGGAGCCAACCATGGATCCTATGCTAGCCCATATTCAGCCCTATGCTCAACCTTGGCCTCAGAACATCCAGACACAAGAACAACCTCAATCCCAATCTCAGATGAACTCCTACGGGACAACCGTGGGTTCTGGGGAATTCTATACTCAACCCCATATTCTGCCTTCGTTTCCGGATATGGAAATGCAATTACAAGGACCCTCTCATGTATCGCATCACGATCAGGTGCTTAACCATACCGGATCACAATCTTATACTCAGCCCGAAACTCATTCTTCACCTCATAATCCCCAGATGCAATCACAAGAATTCTCTCAGGTACAACCCCAATCCCAATATCAGATGACTGGCACGCCAGCCATGGATTATGGGCAATTCTATACTCAGGCCCATACTTGGCCTTCTCAGCAGCCCCAGACGCAAATACAGGGATTCTCTCAGCCTCAATCTGAGATGACCTCTTTCGGACCAGTCATAGGTTCTGGGGAGTTCGATATTCAGACCCATACTCAGCCTTCGCCTCAGAACCCCCAGATGCAACAACAAGGACCCCCCCAAACACTACTTCAACATCAATCTCAGACACCGGTCAATATTTCGCAGCAATCATCTCCTCGGCAGTCTCAACAAAGCTACCCACAGGCACCCCCACAGACAAATTCATCGGTAAACTTTGCATCATCCTCTCCAACTGATCTGGCTCAACCATTTATGCAATTACAACCGCAGGTACAGCTTGTATTCGGTGATCCAACCCCCCTTATAAAGTACTGCTCCCTACCATTACACGAGATAGGACAGGTGCTAGGAAAAATCCCGCCATGGATTGATGAGCTGCCGGGGAACGTTGAAATATCGCAAGAAGACTTGAAGATAATTCCAATATTGGCCAAGCACTATCCTTCCTTCTACTTCATACTCGAAGTCTACACGCGCGATATCAAAGTACAAGACCTGGTGACGAAGGATATGCCATCGTATATGAAGTCGGAGCTTTTAAGCTTCATGGGGCCCAATCCTAACTTACATCGAGCGAGTAAGTAATTGGGGGGGGGGGGGGGGGGGCGGGGGGGGCGGGGGGGGGGGGGGGCGGGGGGGGGGGGGGGGGGGGGGGGGGGGGGGGGGGGGGG